AAAAAAAAAAAAAAAAAAAAAAGGAAGAGGGGCTACGCTCGAGGGCGGAAAAATCGTATTAACAACGGAAATAGATAGCGAACAGCCGAGGTAAAAATCGGCGAAACACGAGCAATTTATAGATACGGTGAATGCGCGAAAGCGTGGAGGCGATTTATTGGCAATGTCGGGAACGATTTTACCCTAAGAGTAATATCGTAAATCAGGCCGATATTTACCGGGCCCGGGTATTCGAGGCGGGAAAAAATGTCTTAATAACGGCTTTTCAATGAGGAAAGCGTAAGTAATGACCCAAAAAAAGGGGAAAAAAAGAACGCAATAACGCAGTTATTGTGGATGAATATGACGCAACGCGCGCGCGGAAAGAAAATGTTAAAATATCGTTTAATACGCATCGTTGATGGCATGTGGGAAGCTCATCGTTTAAGGCAACAATTTTCCAACATTTCGTAACATTGTTGAGTCACCGCTTTGGAGGCTTGTTTATTACTGTGACACGTTTAAAAAAAAAAAAGAATGGAGAGAAATTAAATGTTTTTAAATATAAAATTTACATTTTCTCCGGCATACGAAATGTGGAACGTATTGTTATGTTATTTAATTTATTTAAATTATTTCATTGATCAGGGGCCAACCTAATTGGGAGCAATTAAAAGAAAGTTGCACAAAAATACAAATTTGTTTACGATTGAAAGTTTTAAGAATAGGTGCACACGTGCCCTTATTTTCCAATGAAGAATTCTTTTCATCAAGAATTTTATTTTCGTAGTATCATCGATATAGCGATATGAAATTGTTAATAAATGATACGAAATATAAATATTTCTTTCTAATACAATTGAAGATATCTCAATTTGTTATATATACAAAATAAAGAAAGGGTTAATCCGACGAGCAATTATATTGTGCATACAAAATTTTGTCCAAATTGAAAATGATGAATTCAAATCTGAACATTCATTTAATTCCTTCATTTTCTTTTATCATTTCTATTATCGAATTTCGCCCATATCTTAGTTATCATTTCAGTGAGGACATCCATTCTATCCCTTCACGATAAAAATGATCCACGGACGATAAGAAATTCAGTCGAGGGCGCGCCCTTCATCGGACACGATCGATTAAATAGATCCGCTAATACCCGGAGAAAAAGAGAAAAAAGAGCGACTTGTGAGCGACGCTATCTGACGCTTTTAATCGAGCCACTATAAATCGCTCTTTCAGCGAGGGGCGCCGTTTTCGCGATCGCTAATGGTGGCCGACGATGGGCGGGGTGGGGTCGAGAAGCGAAATATAAATTGCTGACACGGTTAATTCAGCCTTGACGCGGCGATCGCGAAATAAAACGCGATCCTTTCGATTGAATTCGAGCCGAATTGGAGCGCCCTGATTACGAGAATTTAGGCTAAGGTAGTCGTCGGCCGTAAATGGGATGTATTTAGCCTTGATTCTTCGTGACTGAAAGAACACGATTAAACCTGGTTGAATTAAAGAGGGGGCGCGATCGAGCCAAATTTTTACGCTTTTCCACTTTGAACGTGATTCGTCCACGGTGAAAGATAAAAGTTGGAATATTTACACGAATTCAATAGCCGAATTCGTTTCGCTAGTTTTCAAATTTTTCGAGCGGCGGGATAGCCGTGACGAGTGGCTCGGCCATGGTTCAATTGTTTTTTGAACGTGTTTAAACTGCTTCTCGGTATAATAGATCATGGAGGTTAAAATAAACTACTTTTAAGTCACGAGAATTGAAAGTGGAGAGGTGAAAAAGTCCATTTTTGTATACAGATTAAAATAATCCTGAAGATAAATTTAATAAAAGCATGCTCTGTAAGAGCTTACGTTTCAAGTCGTACGGATGAATCGAAATAAAATTCGTTAGAAATTGACTCTGCTCTTCGTCTACATCACTGCCTGTATTTACTTTTGAAACGAAAATGCAGATGAAAACAGTGTCTACACATTCCACTATGGATGATATTCGCTCGAATAACCGAAGTGTAAAGTCTATATTTGCCCTCGGCCACGTTTCGATCGTGTTGATCAAATGAAATGAAAGGAGCGCCTTGAACGTTGCGACGTTAAGCGATTTCCACGCGTTACATTCCAGTTTAACGATTCACTGTGATATTCGCCATGCTAATCGCCGCGTCTCGGCATGTCGACAGATTGCACCCGCAAATCATACCATGCAGCATCCCCCCTACAAATATGAGGCGGGTGTTGCTGATCATTCGAGCGAGATAGCTACATCAGTGAGCATTTGGAACGCGCGGACAAATGTTGAAATTGATAAATTGCTCAAGTTCCACTGACACGGCAAGAATCTTCTCAAAGACAATCACGATTAACGATTGAAATTTATCTTCGATTTTCTGCTATGGTTA